TAGAAGTGCAAAGCTTTATTCGAATGATGGAAGAGCCGTGTTTTCTTTGGTAAATGAAAGGGTTGTTACAGCCCTATTAATGGCTGATAAGATGGGTTAGTGTAATCGGCATTTTTTAGGAACTACACTCATGATACAATTCAATGGATGATATGGTGCATGCAACGTTACGATGCAATGGGTGTGTTTGAATTTTGGAAGCTGAAAGGTTAAAATGGCTACCAAAATTGGGGGGCATTGTTGACAACCATTTTGTAATTGGGCTTCAGTCATAGTTGGGCTTGGAATGCAATGACATGGTAAGAGATTGCGTTGCGAGAAAAGGTTAGGCTATGCATATGGGTTAAATGGGCCAAGAACATGGAAGTAGACTATAGAAGAAAAGGCAATGACGTGGCAGATTTTACACAAGAACAAAGCTACACACAAGGGCATCACTGATCGGATGAAATGTTGTTGTTATGTTGGATAAGATTTATATGTTTACTAGATTTTAGTTAAGAATTAGTGTTTATCTAAGAACTTTAGTTTGAATTAATTTTCAGTTATGATATAGAGTTTTATTGTAATTAGAATACTGGTTTATAGGTGTTTGTTTTGTGTTTGTTCTATAAATAATCAAGGAGGCACTCTATGATAGAGGTCCAGTACTCTCATAATCCTTTAATTTATTTGTTTGCTTTCTCAAACTCTTTCCTAGAATAACATCCTTACTATTTTTTCTCTATCTCTATCTATCTCTTTCAATATCAAGTTCTATCTCTTTCTTTCTCTCTCTTACTTTTTTTTTCTATATTTACTTCTCCCCCTTTCTATTATCTCAATTGTTATTATAAATTATTCACTGAAAATTCCTTTTAACTAAGGCAATACTAAACTCAAAAGAGAAGTTTTATTGTTATCTTCGTCCTCGCATAGTCTGAAAGTCAACATTCCCAAAAAGACTAACGTTGACAACTCACACTCGAACCATACAATTGATTCTGGCACGCCCGCAATATATCAACTCCGAATCGAATCTTAGGAGCCAATTTTAACGTCAACAAAAACAAAAACAAAGACGCTAGGGTCATTGGTGTGTCCCACGGAGGGACAAGAAAAACCAAAGTCCAAAGTTTGCCTAAGAAGACGACCAACAGTTAGTGTCCAACTATAGAAATTCAATTTTGAAAAACTAAATTGTGTAATTTGATTCCACTTTGAGAAAGACATATATAAGTATTACCTTGAAAGATTAATAATACAACAAAAGTATCATTTTAATTAAACAAAATCTTGTAAACTTTAGTAAAACATGATTATTAAGAACAAAATAAAGAGGTATACAATGAGTAGCTATAGAAATTTTCATTTAATAAGTGACAACTAAAAACATTAGGATATATGATATCATTGTTACTATTAATTGGTATTTTTGTCATCAAAACAGTTTTTTTGGCTTCAAAAAGCAGGACTGTTATATTGTAATTAATAAAAAATACAATCTTTTTATAGTGTCTCAAATTCTCAATGTTTGACACCTCAATCGATTTTAAAAACCGATATTTACTTTTATTATTTTCCTAAAATTGTATATATTTGAGCTCATGCTTTTAGTTGGCAACAAAATCCATGGCCTACCATAGGTTGTGTTACTCAAATTGTACTAGACACAAAAACTAAAATAATTTGGTTTAAAATTGAGTAATATTTCTAGGCAAGTCATGCACATATTGAACAGTTTTGAACCTTTCAGCCACCATGAATAACACTATAGCTAATACCACCAGGGTACTAACATGGATTTTATGACATCTCTTTTCAAAGGGAAAATCGAGAGTTTAAAATCCAGTACAAAGACAATTTTATTAATTGTGCACTTGCATAAAATTCTGAAAAATAAAAAAAATAAATAAATAAAAATAAGTCACAACCACCCCCATAAAAAACAAGAAGTAATTTTTGCAATGGTCAACCTCAATGCATTTATTAGATTAAATAATCTTCTCATTCTTGTGTAACAACAAAATTACTCTAGCAAGCTAAATGAGTAATTATCTTTCGAAAAAAAAAAAAAGAAGCTAAATGAGTAATTGAGTTCGACAATCCAACTCTCTCCAACCTCTTACTCCATGCGGACACCTAATTTAACGAGTAGTTGCGTACACTCAAGAACTAATCTGACTCAAAATGACCATTAAAGGAATGTCACAAGCAAAAACACACCATCCTTCCTAGCATGGTAGGTCTGACTAAAGCAATTTAGTACTAAGCCGATAACAGGTTGGGTGTTTGTTCTATCCAATAATAATAATTTAATATTATTTCTTAATTGATATTTACACACACATGTTTCTATCGAGACTTGAATTTCTGACCTACCTTTGAGAATTAAGAACTTAATACCGCTAGGTCACTGGCTTTTTTTTTATTATTTTATTCCTAGTTGGTACTCACACATACTTGTCTCTTCCGAGAGTTAAACCCTAACCTCCCTTTGGGAGGTAAGAGGCTGATACCGCTTGGCCACTGGTCTGTTGGTACCTAATAACTAAAGCTTTTTGGTTGAACTGTGAAATATTCACCTGTTATAGTTGATATCAGAGTCAGACTCAATCTTTGATCCGGTGTCACACTAAACGTCCGACCCGAAAGTGTCTGGGTTTCCGACCTAGAAGTATCTCGATTTTTGGTCCGATTCAGGTAGGCAGGGAGGCCCGAGTCGCAATGAGAGCGTTGTAAGTTAGGATGGGAGAGAATATTAGATATTTGTCCCACATCAGATCCGAATAAGAGAGTGACTGGGTATATATGAGTTTGATATTAGTTTCACCCTAATAATTTAAACTTTTAGGTCGAATCACGAAGCACTCACCTGCTATACTAAACCTTTATAAATAACAATGTAAAAGTGTTACTCAATTTAATAGTGTTGCATACTCTACGTAAATGTGTTGTTGAAGTGCACTCAATGGTATCTCCACGAAGGGGGGCAGTTGGCCCCCTTGCCCATGTTGGCCCACTAATTTATTTATTTATTATTATTTTTTTTTCGATACATAAATTTGTAGAAAATTGATAAAATGCCCCTCTTAAAATTAATAAAATGATCCCTCTACCCTTGAATTTACTATATTTTATTTTATTTTATGTTTATAATTTGTAAATATTTATAAAATACCCCCAAAAAAATTTATAAATTATCCCCCATAAAAATTATCTATTTTTAAAAACGTTTTTAATTCTTTATTCTTTTTCCTTCTTATTCTTTAAATTTCTTTTTGTCATCTTTAAAAACTTTCTACAATAAAAACCTATTTTTTCCTTTAAAATTCTCTCATATCTTTCCTATTTATTTCATTTTCTTCTTAAAAATTTCTTTTTTCTTGCACTCATATATAATTTATGTGCAATAACGTCTCTCTCTTTTCTTTTCTTTTTTTCTCTTCTTATTTATTTTTTATTCAGTTATTCTAATACACTATTATTACACTATTATATTTTTTACCTGTTTAAAAAAAATATATTTTGTCAATATTTACATGCTCACTTAACTAAAACTGACTCCAAGCAGTCCCACCACAAATTGTCCACCTTCAAAGAAGGAAAATTAAAGAGTTACTAATCAAACTCACTTTGCTTTACCATAGTGTGCCATGACATACGCACACATGGTCTCTTTTCATCCTCTCAAGCTTACTGGTCAACGTCTACCTATAACTTCACTTCAAATCCACACCACAAAATCTAAAGTTTGATTACGATATCAACCCGTTTGAATTTGAACGAATCTCATTCTAAAATCATCCTTCAAATGATGTTTAATATTAACATAAAATTCACTATATATGTTCTGGACTTGCTTACAAAAAAAAAAAAATGAAGATAATAATAATAATAAATTAAACGTGTCAAATATAAATTGGTACAGATGTCACCAAAACAACTAAAATCTATCTCAATTTGTTGGATTAAGATTTAAGCCAATCAGTTGCGAACAGCGCATATGGATTTGAACCTATCCACACTCACCAGTCATCCCCATTATGTATAAATAAATAAAGTGATATAAACACACACACACACACACACATATATATATAATATATATAACATGTCACCACATTTTATGTAACATGTAACCAGATTTTATGCGAATAGAATTGCTAACACACACTTTTCATGGCCATAACGGTTACAGATTTTTTCGGTTGAGACAAAGCTCATGAACAGTTTTCTTATCAACTGCCATATATAAATGGCATCTTCTTTAACGTATATTTATTTAGTAGGGGTATTTAATAGGACTAAGTACAATCTCTCTCTATATTAAATATATATTTATAGCTTTTAATTCCTAAAAGATAAGGACAAAACGTTAATCAAATCATAAATTCCGGATGGGGTTTGAGAGAAAAGTAACGGAACAAAAAAATGAATTACAAGTCAATTTCATTTATGTCACGTTTCGGAGAATTAATTCAATAGACGCAATTTTTTTAATTTATATTTCAGTGTTCTCTTACGCAATATTAATTATTATTATTTTTTATATGATATAACTTATAGCACTTCTACAATCACCTCCCTTTTTTTCTTCTGTTTTTTTTTTTTTTTTTTTTTTTTTTTTTTTTTTTTTTTGTAGGAATTGGAAACTTCCTTTCCCATCAAGAATATGTCCAAATACAAATAACAAAGCAATAAATCATGAATTTAACAAGAACATCACCAATTAAAAATCACTCATTTCATTTCCTGTTTTTTTTTTTTTTTTTTTTTTTTTTTTTTTTTTTTTTTCTTCTTGATAATGGGGTGTCACTCACTCAAGAACATGCCCAAATACAAATAACAAAGCAATAAATCATGAATATAACAAGAACATCACCAATTCCATTTTACCATTAAAAATTAAAAATCACCCATTTCATTTCCCTTAGGGTGTCACCCATTTCATTTTTTTTTCTCTTGATAACAGGGTGTCTGATGCTTCATCACTCATTCAAACGACTTATCCATACGAATTGAGTAAATCTAGTACTATGTTCCCATTTCCATATTACATACCCACAACTTATATACACACATACCCATACATACAAAAGAAATGAAAAATAAAAAATAACTGCATATGAAAATCCAAAATCCAACTAAAAATTTATATATATATATATATTTTCGATCCGTATAAAACCAAAATCACTATTATATTCATCTCCTTTTCTTTTACATACCCAAAAAATATACATATATATATGATAAAAAGTATAACAAAGATCTTTTTGTATGTATCTCTCTCTCTCACACACACACACAACTACCTTCATGTGTTCCTAGGCTTTGAGGGAGTGATCTTGATGACAAGCCCAGGGAAGACATCATCGGGGTCGTGAATATGTGGATTCTGCTCAACTATATAGGGGTCGCCGCACTTGTCACTGATGGTGTTTAGGGTTTCACCTTCTCCGACGACGTAAATCTCGTCGCAGGGCCGGTCCAAGAACTGGCCTCCTCTCGTCACCACCACCGGTTCGTCATCACAATCATGAACATCTCCCGTAGAATTATTCTCTTTGACAGACGCCAACAAGATGAGGGCTATCAGAACAACAGCACAGTACCATGAAGCTGCATCAGCTATGACTAATGATAATTTCATGGACTTCTTGGGTTTACCAGAGAAAGCCATATTAGAGCCTAGAGGGAAAGAGAGAGAGAGATATGGAGAAGAGATAGATGGGTTTTGAGAATATTGATGGATTATGGTGTATATATATATATATGTGTGTGTGTATGTATATATGTGGGAGGAGAGGGAAAAATTTACCGTATTAGTTGGGTCATGGGTGGGAGTTGGGTTGAACGACTTGGGGACGTGTAATTTGGCTCAAGCGTTTCAAGTGTGACATTTTTGTTTTGGTTTTGGTTTAACGTTGAAGTGTTCAAATGGTACATGAGTCACTTATAACCAATTGACCAAAAAGGACTTCTTTCCTTGGGGAGTATTATTTTGGAACCTTATACACTTTTAGTTATTTAGAATTTTGGATTCAAAGTTTTTGACCCTTGCGGAAAGGAAATGACGAAACATTAGATACGTTTAGAAAACATTATTTATATATTTGTAATGAAACGCCCATAAGACTTTTTCTTTTTCCTTTTCTTTTACTTTTATATATATATATATATATTTGATGGAGTGGTGTCAAACTCCTAAAACATTCCAATATTTATCTTCAGAATATATAAAGTTCTCTATTTCATATGTACCGATATTCTAATAGAATTTAAACCCCAATCTTGGAAATCTAAAATGAGATTTTTGCCATTAGAATAGAGTACGTTTGCCTTGAAATGTAAATTGATGAGTTATATTTCTAGTTTAAAAGTTGTTTTATAAGTATTAATTTTAATTTTATGTTGATTTGATTTTGATCGGGAAACAAGTATTAGTGAACCCATTGTAGTTGGTTCGAGTGAACGTAAATGAATAATTTTTAAAATGAGCAATAAGCAAATCATTTTAGCACTACTTTTAACACAAAGGTCCTTATCACCAAATAAATAAATACATAAATATCAAGAAAAAGAAAAAGGGAAAAGGCTACTTAGATGACATTTTTTATTTTATTTTTATGTATTCTTTCCTGGCCGCCTGGTTGATGTCTTCCAAACGTGCCCAAAATAAAATATTATCTTTTGTGTCTTAGGTTCTTAACACTACTTATGAGATCAAACTCACTTATAATAAAACAAAAACAAATAAAAACCATTTGTGTGTGTGTTTTTTCTTTTTGGCCTGCGGCCTCTCTCTTTTTGTATATCTTTTTCCGGCTAGATAAAGTTTCATTTATGAGCTTAAAAAAAACATACATACGATGATTATACTTTTATTATGAAAAATTATAATTTATTCGTATTTTTAAAAATAATAATTTAAAAACAAATTTAATAATTGTCAAATTTAATTTATGTAATACATGACGATCACTTGAGGTCATATTGATATTACATAATGTACCCACCACCTCACTCATTAAATTATTATATTATTTCTTTAAAAATAAATATTATATGAATGGCTTGTTTATACATGGAGGTTACCAATTTCGTAAGTCAGTCAAACAACTAAACTCGACGGTTGCAATCACTTCAATTTGATAACATTTAGTGGAGGAAAATTTGACCAACTTGGGATATGTTCTGTTTATTTGGTTGGTAAGCTACAGGTGATGATGACAAAGGTAGATAAATTATTTTCCTAATCTTCTCAAAGTGGACACGTTTGTGTTACGATATGGTTGTTTGGATCTTCCCTGATATAATAAACAAATCAACATTTGAGAATTTGATAGACTATACATATTCTTAAAAACAATATATAACTTTTAATTATCGCGAGTAATTACACAATTAAGAGTCTGAAATTTTGATACATCCGATTACATTTAATTGAGTAGATTAAATTTAGTTGAGTAGGAAATGACGTAATTTTCTATTCACATAAAAATCGAATATATAAGCTCTCAAATTATTTATTATTTTTTACCCTTTGATTTGGATATCTCGAAGAATACAAAATTAAACAGTATATTTTTACTTTTTAATTTTAATTTTAATGTAGGAATTTGATGCTCCAAACATATTTCAACTCCTTTAGAATTATGATATATTAATGCTTGGTATCTTCTAGATGAAATTCTCATTTAGCTGGTCTTGGTTCTCTAATTCATAATTTCTTGGTTTTGTTTTTCAGAGGCGTTCCTACCTCTTTGGCAGGCTCTGTTTGGTTGGCATGTTGTTTCTGGTTTTTGTTTTTGTATTCCCTCTCCGAACTAAGCACCTTTCCAACGCCTAAATCCTAATACGTCACCATACTTTTTTTTTTTTTTTTTTTTTGGGTAAATAACGTCACCATACTTGTTTGTCCTTCTCTCATACTTCTTTTTGGGTGGAATGCTTCCTTCTAGCTTTATATTTGTTTCTTGATTTATAAATTTATTTTTGGCTTTCCAGATAAATAAATAATGTATTCTATGATTTAAAAGTAAGGGTTACATGTGATATAATTTTTGTAATTGGCTAGTTTCGGTGTCAAAACTAGTCGGACCGAGTTGTAATTTTTAAGTTACCAAATCAAGATCGAGATCGGCTACGGAATTGGAAAGTTGTTCAAGTTTGATAAATTATGATTTACGAAAAATGTATGAACAACACTTTAGGAAGTTATTTCTCACTTAGGATACTATACATACATGGTATGTTTCTTCAAAGTTTCCAAAATAGAATTTTTCCAAACCTTTGCTACTAGTTCAGGAATCTTAACTTCAATGAAAGTTTTCTGTCCTTTGGGAATCGATTCCAAAGTTGGCTACCAGTTCCACATGCTGATACAGTTTAGGTAATAGTTTCCTGTTATGTCTAAACTTCCTATTTGATATAGAATTCCTTCCAAAAGTCTTATGCACGAAATTTACATTTTCCTATGCATATTTAGGTCTTTGATATTCTGTATAAACCTTGATTTTCATCTAGGTTGATACGGCTTTTGCATTACAACATCTGATTTATTAAAAACATATTTGAGAGATATTTTGTAGAAAATCAAATCTGATTTTTTCTGTTTTTATTTCTTGAACACACACATAAACACAAGAGTGATTTTAGGGTGTTGTTCAATTCCTGATTGTGTTTAAATTTGGTTGAATATTGCATCTACAACGATTAGAGAAGTAAATCTATTTCTTCTACATCAAATTCAGATATTGAAAAACAAGGGTGAAACGATCACACAGTGAAAGGGTCAAAGCATTCGAGGAGTGTTCTTTAATCTACCAGCAATCCTTCTATAGAGATCAAGAGTAAGCTTGAAGTCAAGAGCTGTTGGACAGGACGTTGCAAAGCCAGAGGATTGTTAACAATTGGTGTTTGGTAGAACGATGGGGTGTAAGCCTAAGTCAAAATCCATTTAAGCTCACAATCAAGCACATTAACAAACTAGAGAATTATACTACTCATTTATAAGCATGGAACATCAAATAACAAGCATGGATTGTCCTCACATCTAAGAAAGTAAAGCAACTACCTACAACTAAACTAAGGACATGAAAATTAAACTAATTAAACTAAGGTAGAGGCACAATCCATCAAGAAATGAGTATGACCCATCAAACAAACCACAAGAGTATTCTATTTAAGCACCATGCCATGATAATCTCTAGAATCATAGCATCAACACACATAGACATGCATTAATAGCATAAAACCTAGAAATAAACACATGAATTTCTATTCTAGCATACATAGACATATGAATAGAATAAAATGATTAATTGGAAGTATTAAACAACACAAATCATTATAAAAACAAGATTCATATATAAATCAAATGTCAAGACAAGATTACAACACAAATCCCCTTAAAATACAAAGCATCAAGATCTAGAAGGCATGCTTAGGGCTAACTCTAGCCCTAAGAAGATGTTTAGCCACTCATTGATGTAGTCATTCAACCCTCAAGGGTCATCTCCATGATATGAATGATCTTCTTCTTAATGGAAACCCTAGATGAATTGAAGAACTCCCAAATGGTGTATATCTCTCTAATATCTAGCCTCCTCTCCAAGATTGTGTAAATGTCTATGATTGTACATGTGTAAAATGGCTCAAAATCCTTATATAGGTAACTCAAGTGTCACACCCAATGGTCAGGTCTCGTGCACTAGGGCCCTTTTCAATGATTGTACCACGAGCCATCTTTTAATGAGTTGGACTCTGTTTTCTTTCAAACTTGAGGAGGTTCGATCGATCAAATTCTGATGAGATCCATCGAACTATGGCCAGATCAATTAAAGCTTAGCCAGATCGATCAAAGCTTGGTGGCGCCTTTTTGGAATAAGACAAATCTGAGATATTTTTAGGATATTTTGAGAAAAAGACAAAAGTGGTAGGTGGGGATAAGATCAAAGAAGTTTGATCGATCGAAAGAAAAGTTGAATCGATCGAAGATGGAAATTCTTGAGGATAAGGACAAGGGGTTTGATCCATCTTGGTGAGGTTAGATTGATCACTATGAGATCGATCTGGGCTTGGTATAATCGATCAAAATTTGTTGTTTTCCACCACTTTGCTTCCTTTCTTTCATTTATCTTAAAATTGCTTATGCTATGCTCTAATTTGGCTGAATTGACTTATTTTGGGGATAAGCGTCTGAAAAGGGCAATAATATGAAATTAGTCTAAAACGGGAAAATAAGATAGATAAAGGTTCTAGAATATTCGAGCTTAAGGGGTTTAAATGCACACTTTTCATCGCTTATCATACCCCCAAACTTAAATATTACTAGTCCCTAGCAATAAACTACAAGGTAAAGGAATGAAATGAACAACTATACAAATATAAACTAGAAAGTAATAAATGGATAACGCCACTTTCGTAGGAAACATGATTGTATTTAGCATATGCAATAAGCCTTTTAAACCCCTAGGTTACCCCTAGTGGACGAGTGAAGTCTTGTGAAGGTTTTCAGAAATGATACCCACAAACATTAAGCTCATTCCCACAAAAGAGTCACCAATATGGCAAACAAGCATTGGGAGAAAACTACCTTAAGTATGCAATTTTTCAACCCTTTCCAAGCAATCTCCCAAAATATCAATATCAAGTAAACAAGTATGGTCCTCCACACATCAAAAAAATGATCATGCAAATCAAAACAACACTAGAATCCTTTTTGAGTGGACTGGCATCAAATATGTTGCCATCTAAGCCAACTAGAGAAATGATCACATCCTTTCCCTCAAACTAGCACACAAATCTAGTACCGATCATCAAAACAAGAAGTTAACCTTTTATTAAAGTTTTATTGATCTAGGTGCGCTTATT